CCAACTCTAGGATCCTATGTATTCCTCCATCACAGAAGAATTGGGTTGGACTGGATGGCCCTTGGATCCTAGAGTTGGAAGGATATTTCTCATCATTTCCATATTCATTTCTTCGGATTCAACTTTCCCGACCATTTTCTAGAATATTTTAGAATATTTTTTTCCATCCCGACAAACCATAACCCAGGGAGCATAATTTTAAAAAATCCTTACCACAGTGAGGGTCATGCGGTCAATCTCATGCTTGTCTTTGGTTTTGTGCTGTCTGAAAGGGCTGTGCCTATTTCAAAATAATAATAATAATAATAATAATAATAATTTAATATTTACCAGGTAATGATGATGGGACAAGCTAGCATTTAGATTAGATTAGATAAGTCTGGAAGAGTATGTAAACGAATGGAATAAAGTGAGGGAGTTATTTAAAAAATAAGTGAGGAGGGAAAAAGTAGAATAAAATTTTAATTGAAAAAATAACGGTACGGAAAAAAATTTGGAGACAACTATACAGTCGTTCTTTCCGAATTGCTGGGAATCCGTTCCGGACGCCCCTGCGCGAATCGGGAAAATCGCCAATATTGGGGCTCCATTAATTACAATGGGGGTGTGACCGCTCCTGCGTGCCATGTTGAGCACGCGCCTCGGGCGCACACACCATTATGTCCCTCTCGACTTTCCGTCTGCGAAGGATCAAGACTGCGGACGGCGGGTCCGCGAATCGGGAGGGACGATTATTATTATTGATTATTATTGTCTCACCCGTCCGTAGATGGGGAGGGACGCAATGGATAAAACGGGGCACGGATGTGTGCGTGCCGCCATTCGAGCCAATGTGGTTTGAATATTGTCGATTTCCCGTTTTCAGCGCGAAAACGGAGTGGCAACCGTATAAGACAGAACATTTAAAATGAAATACGGTGGGAACGTAAACCGAGTGTGTCTCGTCCGGACGAAGGACTCACCCCCGGAGGAGCTTAAAAAGCATGCATCCCAAGGAGAACCAATCCGCGCTGCTGTCGTACGCCGTTCCTTTCTGCAGCACCTCCGGAGCCATGTAGCCGTGAGTTCCTCTGGATCGAGAGAGTCGAGGAATCGAGAGTTAGAATCCCCAACAAAATGGGGGCGCGGTCCGACTTGAGAATGGCGTCGATCCGTGCTCGTTTTAATCTCGTACGAGGAAAACGCTCTCGATATCGAGAGCGTTTTCCTCGTACGAGATTAAAACGAACACGGATCGACGCAACTTAAATCTATTTTTCTAAAGGAAAATGTTACTCGTTTGTGCTTTCTATTCCTTGTAGTAGGGGAAAACACCGTACGCCGTAAATTTATTGTCGTTATGCGCCTTCGAGTTGTTTTCGACTTACGACAACCTATTATGGCGGTCCCTCCACATTCGCTGGGGTTAGGGGCCGGAGGACCCCCGTGAACGTGGAAACAAATGCCGAAAAAACTACTCTTTTCACTGCAGAGAACACCTCTCTAGGAATCTCTAGGTCCTCCAGTACAACTCTATGGTCAACATCTGAGAGAAGTTGACCATAAAATCATGTTGGAGGACCTACAAATGCCTAGAGAAGTGAAATCCTAGTTTCTCCAGCACAATTCTCCAACACAACTCTATGGTCAACTTTTGGTAGAGTTGTTCTGGAGGATCTAGAGCAGTGGTGGTGAACCTATGGCATGCGTCCTAGAGTGGGCACACAGGGCCCTCTCTATGGTTCACGTGCGCCATCACTCCAGCACAGAGTTCGTTACTAGAAAGCCAGAGGGATGTGGCACTTTGTGATAAATAAGTGTGTTTTGGGTTGCGGTTTGGGCATTCAGTCTCTAAAAGGTTCACCATCACTGACCCAGAGATTCCTAGAGAGGACCCCATTAACCAAAACTGTTAATAATCAAATCCGCAAAAGTCAAAGTCACAAATGTGGAGGGATGACTGTACACTCGTCGCCTCCACATTTGCGGATTGACTTATGCGGATTTGATTATTCACAGATTTTATTAATATGCCATCTCTAGGAATATCTAGGTCCTCCAGCGCAACTCTATGGTCAACTGTAACCAAAAGTCACAGTGAATGACCTAGAGATTCCTAGAGAGGACACTCCACTAGGCATTTGTAGCTCCTCCAGCGCAACTCTATGGTCAACTTGAACAAAAGGTCACTCTGAAGGACCTAGAGATTCCTAGAGAGGACACTCCACTAGGCATTTGTAGCTCCTCCAGTGCAACTCTATGGTCAACGTGAACCAAAAGTCCCACTGAAGGACCTAGAGATTCCTAGAGAGGACACTCCACTAGGCATTTATAGCTCCTCCAGTGCAACTCTGTGGTCAATATCTGACAGATGTTGACCACGGAGTTGCACTGGAGGACCTAGAGATTCCTAGAGAGGTGTTCTCTCTGGTAAAAGCATACGTGTTTTTTGTTATTTGCATTTTTTTTCAACATTCACAGCTCCCTAACACCAGCAAATGTATAGGTTTTTCTCAGCAAGATTTGTTCCGAGCGGATTTCTTATTTTCCTCCTCTGAGGCTGAGAGAGTGGAATTTGGCCAAGGGCACCTAGCGGGTTTCCGTGGCCGAGCGGGAATTTGAACCCTGGTCTCCAGAGTCCTAGTCCAACACCTTAACCACTAGACCACAAAGAGTTTGGTTGATAAATAAATAAATAAACAAAACATTAGCACTACAACTCCCAACAATAACAGCAACGGACCAAGAAACCAACATGGCCGACACTCACACGCTGGCATGGGGCTTCTTCTTGGAGAAATCGCAAGCCAGGCCCAGGTCGGATATCCGGACGTGTCCGTGTTCGTCCAAGAGGATATTTGCAGGCTAGAAGCACACACCAAGAAGGACCTGTTAATTAGCAAACTGGAACAAAGAAACGTTTAACCGATAGGATTAATTAAGCTCACCAAATGGTGGGGGGAAAAAAGGATAACGAATCCCTGGCTGTGGAGGCCCCACCGTAGATCCCGACCCTTAATTAATTTACACCTTGTAATAAAAGTTGGAAGCACTTAAAAATACTCCCCCTCTTCCGGAAATTTCTTTCAACCGCTCTAAGTTATACCCAGAACTCGTATATCCGACGCCTGGTCCACTCTTTCAACCAAGCGTCAAACTAATGGTTCTGATTATACCCTAATTTAAAATATATCACTTCTTATGTTCAAGGGAAGGGTTTCTCTCTCTGTATATTCAATAAGTAAAGGATTGCTAATATTAACAACGGCACGTAACGGTTTTGTATTTCAACAATTTCTGCTTTTTGAGAAGTGAGAATGATCCTCATTGCCTCCAGAAT